GAGAGAGAGAGAGAGAGAAATAGATAGAGAGAGGATAGAGAGAGAGAGAAGCTTGCAATCGTTCTTCCCCGGCTCGGCACATGTAATACAAAGCGCATCGGACGTATTGACGGCGATGGTTTAAGTGCCCCGAGGGTGCCACCGAGGGAAATATCGACGTCGGACCGGGGAGGGGCGGGGGGCCACGTGCAGGTGTATGATTAATGCCGCGGCGCCGCAACGCGCGCCGCAGAGATATCGCATGCGGAAATTGATTCTAATGAGGCCTCACGCGCGCACGAGAGAACCCATTCACTCCGATCGATGATCGTCAGTGATCGTTTCCATTGGTGTGAAACGCGCTTGTCCCCGCTTTGATCTCCGCCCGGGGCTAACTTTGATCGGACATTATTTACACGGGAGCGCGGGCATATAGAGTGTCGCGGTTTCGGGTTGCCCTCTCCTCGCCGAAAGCGCATGGCGGCTCTCTGAATGTGGAACGTCTATTTCTTCCGAGTAGACGGGAGAGAAAGAGAGACGGAGAGACAGGAGAGACGAGCTCTCCCGAACCCGCCGAGATCAAAGCGAGAGATCTTTTCGGTATCGGAGTACGAGAGAGAGAGTACCTCCGCTAGTTTCCGCTTAAACGCATGTCAAAAAGCCGCAACGATTATTCGTACTGCAAAGGTAAAACGAGACGATATTGTAGAAACGTATCTGCATTAAAACTTTGACTGTAAAATGTACAAGTTCTGCAAAGTGTCTTCAATCGTTGCAGCGTTTCTCTATTATCAAGTTTCTATTATAAAAAAAGAAACTGAAAAACCACTTTACTGTTCTTCAGCATCAAGAGATTCTGTCAAAATTGTGTCGGTTTCAACGCGGTCGTCGCTCAATTGGGAAGAATCTTTTCGGTTTTACGAGAATTTCATTTCGCCAAGTCGATCCCCCGAGTCGCGATAGATCTCGGCTGGGCGGGCTCGGCGACGATATATCGCAATCGCGCGAAAACGAAAGTTTCGCGCGATGCTCTTTCGTCGGTTTTGCGCGCGTCGCCGCAGCGGATCCGCGAGATAGTTCGTCGGCCGCGCGAAAGGGAATACGTACTGCGTATACGGGATCCGTCATCGGGATCGCAGTGCAGATACCGCGCGGAGAAAGATAATCAATCGGGGTGTGCAGGGTAAACCGGTATCTTATCAAAGTTGGCCCATCTTCACAAACTTGCTCTCGCGTCCTCGTCTCCCGGCGGATGGAGGAGAACGACGGGGATGATCGTGCGAGAGAGCGCTCTCGCGTCTCTCCGAGGGATGGGACAGATCGTATGTGGCAACGTGTGCACCGGATGTGCGGAGAATGTAGAGAAACAGAGGGAGGAACGAAAGGGAGAAGCCGGGAGAGAGAGAGAGAGAGAGAGAGAGAGAGAGAGAGAGAGAAAACCGAGACGTCGCAGACGGCGCGGCGGAAGAAGGGATGCTGGTAGACTCCGCGCTAACTTTCGCGTCCGTGTGCTCGCGGCACCGCCAGAAGGAACTTTGTCGATCAGAGTTGCGAAGGAGATTCTCAGTTATATCGGCAGTGCCACCCTCGTAGATACCTCCGGTGGTACGGTCGTGGACCTCGGTAGCGAAAGGGTTGAATACACGGCGTTGATGGGGATAATGGGGAGGTCGCTTCCGCCGCGGGGGTTTATGCTTCCGCGTTCTTCCACGAAATCATTCCGCGGCGATTCGATTTTGTTTTCGCCGATACGACACAATTAGTCTCTTAACATTACTGGAAATAGCAATTTCTATCAAACTTCGCTGGTTTGCGAGTTTACAATCAATTTCGTTTTGTGACGACCACGTCGCAACTGCACAGCAGAAATTTTCGCTATATAGCAAAATCCAATTACGACCATCTCACAAAGTAATAATCGAATTGTAAGGGACTTAACTTACATAACGTTGTTATTGTAAAAAAAAAGAACGGAAATTAAAGGAAGAAATAAAGCGTTCGATAAAATAATTTTAACACATCAAAAGTATGAAGAAATACGGCATTTAATTAATAAAAAAAAAAGGATATATTCAGGATAATTGATCACGCTGTCATAATTCATCTTCTGGCGTATTCAGGAGACACGAGGCTTTTTATGGTGCGGAATGGTATTTTCAACATTACGCGACACTGAAGAACTTCGAGATGATCGCTTAAGACTCAGCGAGTAAGCCGAGGAGACGAAGGATGCGAACGCGAAATAGGTCAGGGAAGGATAATTATCTATTTCTCGGCTCTATTACACCTAAAGTACCGGCTAAAGAGGAAAAAGCTAGTAAGGAGGCACGGCGCAGGCACGAGGAGGCAGCAAATCACTTTAATTTTCAAAATCGTTATGGCAATAACCCCAGCGAAACTTTTCAGCTGCACTCGCGTGTGCTTTTAAGCAGCGGCGGGCGCAAAGCATTGCGAGAAAGATATTTTCGTTCGTGTTATAACTCGTGCATATAAGCTTAATAACATTCATTCGTCTCTTTTTTTCGTGTGCTTCATTCTCTTTTCGACGCGCCGCTTTATTCTCTTTAACGAAAATAGGTGGCACGTGCGCGAACGGATGTTGCTGTAATTTTGGATTTTTAATCATTTTAATTACAAATCGCAAATTACGAGTCATTTCCAGATTCATCGCGTCCGCGGACTGCGAGATTTAATTTCGGGGGCCTTTGGCGAATCTGAAATTACGATTAATCGCCCCGGATTCGCCGGAATAGGGAAACCGCGCCGAGCGGTGGTGACGCGTAGGTGGGAAATTTCACCTGTGCGAAATCTCGCTTCATTCGGCCTTTCATCCCCCGGCTGCGAGCGGGTGCACGAGAGCCGGTAACGAAGAAATATTAGCGCTAAGCTGGCGAATGAATACGAATCCGCACTTTAAATCTTGGAGAGGTCGGGGCGTAAACGGACGGACGGATGGACGAGCGGGCGGGCGGGCGGGGTCAGGGACCGAAATAAAAGCTGACGCGTTCCGGCTAGGCTGGGCTGGGGGGATGGTCAGAGGGTTGTAATTATCTGTTTCTCGGCTCCATTACACCTGAAGGACGAGGCGGACGCCGCCGCCGCCACTGCCGCGGCGCCGCGGCCGTGGCGAGAAAAGCGGAGCGGGCCGAGCGCGGGTGGCGAACGTGACGGGAAATAAGAACAGGCCGAGTGGCAGCCGGAAATTACAGAGTCTACAAGCAGCAAGCACTGACAGTGAAACTGACAATATGTACGGAAGACACGGGGGAATAACCGGGTGGAAAAGAAGTTTTCGTTGACTACTCGTGGACGATTGTTCCTCGGATGTCCTCGCGTCGGCGTCGACGGCGGATGACAATCGATACTTTCTGTAGAGGCCAGTTTGCCCGGTCCTACACCGCAAACATTTTACTATCGGCGTGTTTATCGCTGCTTAAAATCGCACTAATAATAGGAGTAATAACTGTCAGTGTACACATCCATCATCCAAATCCAGATAGCAACTTCATATTTACAGATAATTGTGTGTTTCTATGGATATTTGTAGATTTAATCTTTTAAGCTTTTTCTTGTTTTAGAATGCAAAGTATCTTCATATTGGATTATATTCTTATATTTATATTTTTATATGAATTTTGTATGTTACAGATTATAAATAAAATATAATCTTGATTATATATAAAATACAATCTTGACTATAAATATAGAGCAATTTCAATTTTTTGCATTTTCTTAGAAAGGTGGTA